TGTGCCCCCCCCCCCCCACCCAGAGTCTGGCATAATAAGCACAAGGTAGGTACTCAAAAAATATGTGGGAGCCAAAGACCTTGTCCTTGAACTCATGGGTTTAGGCTGTCAGAGTGGACGAAACTGTTCCTAAACTTCTCCTGCAATTGTCAAGATAAGCAATACAACCTTGAAAGGGCTTCCTCAAAGTTAACTTATATTTCTACTGCTACAGCTAGCTGGCCTCTTGAATGAAATGGAGACCAGCCCTGCCGGCAAAGTCCCTAAGACAAGGAAGGAACTTTACACTTGAAGACACAAGACTAATTTGTTTATTAGGTGCGTTCTATAAGTTGAGGAGGGAAATTTTTGGCAAATAAATAAATAAATAAATAATCAGGTAAATGAAGGCTTTTAGGGCAAAGAAGGAGCTCAGGAAGAGGAACGAAGCGTAGTCTTTGCATAGTTCTAAATGAACAGAAGGTGGCAGCCGTAGGCAACGTGGATTCGCGGCAGAAATGCAGCACTTGCAAAAACCAGGGACAGGAGGCTTTGAGAAGAGGTCAGAAGGTGACTAACTATTTCTTTATCATAGAGACCATGGTGTGGCACGTTCGTCCTCTCTACTGGGTCGCGGGATGCAGCATCTTACATGATTTGCCTGGGCATCCCATATCCGGTCATGCCTGCCTGGGAGGCCCCCTTGTTGCTGCCCATCTGCAGGCCTATTACGTTCTGTCCCTGGCGAAGCTGCTCCTCTGAAAATCCTCTCCGATTCTGCTGGGCTTTCCTGGGCAGAGGGAGTGAGATGAAACAATGTCATTCTGTTTTCAAAACTTTTCCAAGATATGCAGTTACACAGGCTCTTCTGGGGGTCACCAAATAGAAGGGCAGGCCTTATACAGAACTATAGTCCTGCCATGAACTATGGCCCTACCCTGGGCTATGATCCTATCCTGGGCTATGGCCCTACCCTGGCCTTGGCCCTACCCTGGGCAGTGATCCTACCCTGGGCTATGGCCCTACCCTGGGCTATGATCCTATGAAATATTGCCCTTCCCTGGGCTATGGTCCTACCACAAACGGGCCCTGCCATGAAACACGACCTCTCGACATCTTAGAAGCTCAGGTGATTTTCCAGAATTTCCACAGCAAAGAACAAGTGCTGCCTCTCTGGATACTTTACTCTCAGACAGCTTTCCTGTCCCCCCTTCTCACAGTTACCTCAAGCCCTTGTGAAAATTAAAATCAGCTCTTCTTACAAATCATGTCACTAATCCTACTCCACCTTCCCTGTATGGGGCCAAGGATTAATGTCCCACTTTAAAGCTGAGGGATGTAGGTGTTAGGAGGGGAAATTTCCTACTCTAGACCAGAGGTTTGCAAACGTTGGTGAAGAGCCAGATAGTAAATAATGTTGGTTTTATGGGCCACATAGACCATGGTAGATCACTAACAAAATGGGGGCTAAAACCAGGGTTTCAATTGGCCGATATCTAGGAGCTTTTCAGACCAGGTTCATTTAAAATGTCACAAGCTGGTACCTTTACATAACTGTCAAGAAGAGGAGGGGATTAGGGGAATGAAGAGTCAATTATCTGCTACAACGTGCTCTTTTCATCTCTCACTGAGCTAGGGGTGGAGTTTAAGCATCCTTGCTACCCCTCTCCCCAAAAAAAGACAAACAACAAAGCAAATAATCTCTTTAGGGAAAGGCCCTTTACTGCCTCCTCCGAGGGTGATGGACAGCGCTATCAATGGATACGCTGGGGTGACAGGACTGTCTCAGGACTCTCCTGGCAAATAAAACATGCTTTCCCTTCATTACGTGAGGAAAATAGTTAAATAAATAAGTAGATTCAGGGCTACTTGGCTCCTAGTGAAACCAAGTTCAAATCTCAAGAGAGACATAACCTGGGCAGAGCTGGAGGATCCAGGTATCTAGTAGGAAAAGCCCAACGACTTCTGCCCCAGGTGGTATATTGGCCTGAACAAGCAGCATTCGTCTTTCCTTGCTCCGGGGGATTCGGTTATGGGGCTGGGAGTGCTTGTTGCTAGGCTGGACTTTGTGTCAAAACAGCCTCCGGGGAGCTACAAGGCTTCAGATGCTCGTTCTTGTTAAAATCATCCTCTGCCTGGGGAGGGAGAGGGTGTGTGGCTGGGAAGGGATTTTTACCTGTGAAACCAGGATGGCTCTCCCCGGTAGCAGCCATCATCCTTGGTGATTGCAACGCTGCCTAGAGCCATCAGGGTCCTCTGCACGGCCGCCATGTCCTTCCCTGGAAGCCGAAGGAGAGATTAAAGCCAAGCATGTGTCAGGGCCAAGGAAGAGGGAAGGATGGGGCTGGACCTCTGGGAAGAAAGTTCTCATAGGAGGCTGTAGGCGAGCACATTCAAGGGAAAGGGATACAAGATACTCCTCAAAGTGGCCTGAAGACAACCACGGCCAAGCTTCTCAGAAAGGAGCAAAAAATCCCCTGGCTAATTGTTCTCTCTATGGTACATGCCAGAGATAGTGAGTTTCTAATCCATTCACAGTTGCTACATGAACAACACATTCCAAACACTGAGCAGCTCAGACAGCGGTAGGTCCCTGCCCTAAGCAGAGGCCCCGGCCTCTGGTGCGTTCTACAGGCCGTGGTAAGGGGAGGTGCTGTGGGTAAGCTGGCATGAGGTCTGCACAAGAGGATTTTCGTAAGGACTGGAAAGAAAAAAGGAAACCGGAAAGAAATTTACTGGTGGGTTAACTACACCAAAGCCCAGGTGGCTTCTTTCTTTTACTTTATCTGGGTTAAAAGGGTCTAAAATCACCCATGTGCATCAAATTGAGTCTTCACTTGGCTTTTTTAGGCTGGAGGCCCGGCAGATGAAGAAAAGCAAATCAACACAGAGCACTCCAACATGACACAATGAGAAGCTCTTCATTTCGTGCTGCTTGAGAAGAGCTAAAGGGAGACAGTAAATAAATGGCTTTGTGTGTGTGTGTGTGTTTGTGTGTGTGTATGTGTGTGTGTGTGAGGAGAGAGAGAGAGAGAGATGTGTGGTGTGCTCCCTCACACAGTGGAGGGGGACATTGTCACCCGAGGAGCCCAGGGACCCTTCATCCACTGGGCTACAAGGCAGCCTCCTCTTCCTATCCTTTCTCCCCTCCCCGCTTCCAGCGGACCGACGTGTCCTGGACAAGGAAAGGGAAAGATGCTACTGTGTGGTTAGCCCCGCAATTTAGAACCAGATCGAAGGTCCACGCACGAGTGTGGAGTGCAAAAGCTAAAGGGCTAGGCTGGGGGAGGGTGGCTGCATTCAGCCTGGCAGGGGCTGTGAAAGTCAAGGGCAAACATTGAAGGTCCTCTTGAGACCGAGTGAACCATCTGTAATCTCCGGCTGGGCTGCTGCAGCCCGGTCACCGGGGAATACAGAATTACAGGGGAAAGGCAGACAGAAAGTGAGAATGGAGCATAACTCTAACAAAATAAACAATTAGGGCCCACAGAGGAAGTCCAGGTCAGGATGTCCATTTACTCAAAGAGGAGAGAGAGACAGCAGATCCTTCTTTCCTTGCTCTCTCCCCATCCCCCGTCCCACATTAACCACAGGATGATTTCCTGGATCCTGAGGCCCTGTGGGATGGATTGATGGATACAAGGATGAGAGGTTCTCAGTGCAGAGCCCCCCAGGAGCAAGGAACAGCTGGGGTGGTGGAGAAAGGAGGATCGGGGCAGCAGATGGAAGGAGGAGGGCACAAGGGATACTGAGAAGGCAGAGAGAGGAAACGCAGAGGAGGTTATGAGAATGATCTTTCTCTTCCGCAGATGAAAAGCATTTCTGTAATTGTCACTGTATTACAGGATACATTTTTTTTTTTTTTGATAGAACTGGCATGAAGATATTCTGAAGGATCACCGTGGGAAGAGATAGGAAGAAGATTTGCTTTCAAGCAGTGAGTCATTAAAGAGAACCTCAAGAAACTATGAAGCACATGGAAGCTTAGGAAGGTCCAGGTACATCACTCATCTCTACTCATCTCTACGTAAAGCACACCAGAAATCTGTTTCTGGTGGTTGGAAATAGCGCGCATTTGGCATGTCCAGGATCTGGGGAAATGTGGAGCCTGGCACCTGGCAACCAGCCACAGATACTACCCTGGAGACCGGGGTGGGAAGCAAACTCTGTTAAGCCAAAGACCCAGTCCCCACCACATATGGCTAATGCATATATATCTGCATGAACCCAGAAAGGACACAGGGAATTAAGTTGGGGGCAAGGGTAAGATATCCAGGCCCCCTGACCTATAAATCTCACCCCACCCTCATCCTGGGAGAGTGCAAAAGGGAGTAATTGCACCATTGGGGCAGAAGAAGCTGGGAAGGAGGCATTAGACAGGAACAAACTGGAAAAGCTTTTTTTTTTTAAAGAAAGGGCCAGAGACAAGAGATTTGTTATAAATGATAGGCTAGACACTTTATTATAAGTGACCTTGCCCCTGTGGACTTGATATGATTCCTCCCAATGTGTGGATGGAAAAATTAACTCAGGGAGGTTAATTAATTTCCCAGAGCCACCCAACAAGTGAATCAGGGCCCAGATCTAGCTCAGGTCTGTCTGAACTCAAAGCCTCTAATCAGTCCAGGAGGCCACAATGCCATCTCCCATGGGTCCCCAGCACAGGTTGGTTGGGAGGCACGGTGCTCAGTGATCAGGAATGACCTGAAGGGTGGCAGTGGCTGCTTCAGTGCCAGGCCAGAGGGAGGCACTGGAGGGATACAAATGGGGACTAGTTCTTGGGCCCCCACAAAATCTGGGGCACAAACTTCAAGTGACCATAAGTCTATGTTTTGTCTGGAATAATTTCTCAAGGTCTCACCCTAAAGAAGATGAAAGCAAAAGCAAGCAGTCGGGGTCCAGAGCCCCCCATTCAGTTTTCCCATCAAGTTAAAATAATTATTGTCAAGATTCTAAATAACGTAACAAACAGAAATCTGCTTTCTGTAACCAGTTCATGTCTAGTTCATTTTCTAATAGACATTCCTTGGAAAGAATTCCAGTGTTTTGGGCTAACCAAATGGGAGGAGGGTCTCTTTCCAGCCTCATTTCTCTTGCCAGTTCAGAAGCCCAGATCAAGTGCTGTTGGGTAGAAGGGGCGATTTGTGGAGACTGAATCCTGTAGCTGAGGGTCAAAAATTGAAATGTCTGAAGGAGCAGTGAGATGAGGGAAGATCTGTGAAGTGAGCCAGTTATAAGGCAACGAAAGCTGAACTTGTATCACAACAATGTGTGCCATCTGCCTAGAACCCAGCCTCCTGCAGAACATGGTTTCCCAAGCTTCTGGGACTACTTATGGGATGGGGTTGGAAGGCCTTTTTAAAAATATGCAATTTGAGGTCATCCCTGGACAGACTGATTTGGCAGTCCTGGGGTGGGGCCTGGGAGTTTGTCTTTTTAATAATCTCTCCATGTGATTCATGCCATCAGACAATTTTGAGATACATGGGTTTCACCTGGTGACTCCCAACTGGACTGAGCAGAAGAATTACCTGAGGATCTTGAAAATTCAGATTCTGGGACAATATCCTGCGATGATTCTGATGCAGCCAGATGCATAAGCAAGCACTGCCCCAGTACCTCAGCTTTTAATTTTTAAAAGCATCCCAATGTCTGGCATGTGGTAGGCACGAAATAAAAGTTGTTAAGCAGTAATTCCTTGCTTCAGAGCTATTGTCCACAAAGTCAGAAGTCGCATCGATAGTTAAAGGGCTCTGATACAAGTTGGGAGCCTGCTCAGAGCTCCAGCAGCCTGGAATCTCTTTGTTCCCTGAAAGGTACCCCCAGAAACTTTGGCAAGACAGCTTGAAAACTGCTGCTCAAGCTAGTTTTCCAAGAAGAACAGTTCTAAAGAATTAGGTGTTGGGAATTTTCTAGATGCTGGGAACGCAGGAATGAGACTGAGTCTGGGTGGTGATCTACAAAGGAGACCGCTGGAAGTGATACACGAAAGAGAGGGGTCAAATTTACACTAACAGCTCAGGATTTCAATCAGGTTCCTGGACTCTTCTAGCTCTCTATCATGGGGGGAAGCTAATATTAGACTCGAAGTTGTAAAAAGAGATGGTGGCAGAGTAGCTTTCCTTGTCAGAACCTCAGATAGCAACTGACACTTTGACTGGACAGTACTGTATTCCCTGTTTATTGCATTATCACAAAGCAATGTCTCCCCAAGTGTGGTCTTACACTCCAGCTACTAAATGGTCATCTCGGGCTTCCCTGGTGGCGCAGTGGTTGAGAATCTGCCTGCTAATGCAGGGGACACGGGTTCGAGCCCTGGACTGGGAAGATCCCACATGCCGCGGAGCAGCTAGGCCCGTGAGCCACAACTACTGAGCCTGCGCGTCTGGAGCCTGTGCTCCGCAGCAAGAGAGGCCGCGATAGTGAGAGCCCACGCACCGCGATGAAGAGTGGCCCCCGCTTGCCACAACTAGAGAAAGCCCTCGCACAGAAACGAAGACCCAACACAGCAAAAATAAATAAATAAATTAATTAATTAAAAAAATAAAATAAAATAAATGGTCATCTCTGGGGAGAGGGACCAAGGGTTCTGCATTATAAGTACCCCTTGCCCCGACCTAGGAATTCTTAGTGCCCATGAAGTTTGAAGACTTTTACCACAGAGATACTTGAACAAGGATTTTGTTCCCTTAATTTCTTTTTATTACTTTCATGCTATCTTACACATGTCTTTGGGAAGAAAAAATAAAAAGAAGGGTAAAGACTGGTGGCGCAGTGGTTGGGAGTCCGCCTGCCGATGCAGGGGGGATGCAGGTTCGTGCCCAGGTCTGGGAGGATCCCGCATGCCGCGGAGCGGCTGGGCCCATGAGCCATGGCCGCTGGGCCTGCGCGTCCGGAGCCTGTGCTCCGCAATGGGAGAGGCCACAGCAGTGAGAGGCCCACGTACCGAAAAAAAAAAAGAAGAGTAAAGAGAAAGAAAAAGGCCAGAGAAGTCACATCTGGGCGGACACTCTACTTTCAATACTAAAAATCAGTCTTACATTCAAAACTCTTTGCTTTGGAGTTACTTCTATTTTCCACTAGTCTTGACTCAAACTTGTAACTCTTAGAATACTTTTTTTTTTTTTTTCATCTTTCTGGGACTTACAGAGAAAGCGGTCAGTGGATGAAGAAACCACTTCTTATTTCCCTGAGTAATAACTTAGGCATAGCCCCCAATTCTCCACTCAGAGTAGAAAAACTATTGCTTTGGATAAGGGAGAAATGTCAGAGGGTAGGT